CATATCATATACATATTACAGGTTACATATATCATAGTTATATATATGATAAGTATAAAGTATGTATGTTTACCATCTATATACCATACGTATAGTATATATCTGTAAGATACATATGTATGCCACATATCTTTATATATACACCTATTTATTTATCATAGGTGTGCATATATGTATGTATTATATATACATATACGAATGTTATATAAGTATAGATAGATGGCATACATATATATATATATATACACGCATCCCTGATATATAGGTATATGAGGACAGGAATCACAACACAGCCTCGGGGGAGGATGAAGCCTCGAACCTGTAAGCTCTCAGGAGTAGTGGAGCAGGTGGTTTTGTTCACGACCCTGGTTGGCTTTAAGGGGCCTGTGAAGTTTTCCCTTTCCTTTTCTCTTCACTTTGCCTCATTTTTCTCTCTCTTTGGATGTTCTCTGCTTCTCCATTCTTACAGTCCACATATGGCTGCCCAGATTCCACATACGTCTTGGCAGCTCTGACCCACAGACTAGTGTCCCAGGTGAGCTAACGTACCTGATGTTGAACATTTCTATTGCTCAGCATTCATACCTGAGGAGCAGGAACTAATGTGGGCTTATGGCATGGTAAAAGAGTATACTGAAGAGCTACTGAGCACCTCACAGAACCATCAGGAAAACTGGAGAACCATGTTTGGAATGTGGGTAAGAATAACGGGAATCCTTGGGAGATAGGTCTAGCAGAGGTGGCCACTGACAAAATCACACCAGAGTCTGATGAGGACACCACTGTCTTCTGCACAGGGGGCTGATGATGCAGCTGTACCTCCATCCAAGAAGCATGGACACATGGTCTGCTGGCCACTGGAAACTGGATGTTGTGGCCACCACATCCATGCCTAGCAGGAATTCTCCAACATCCGCTACTTTTTGGATCACTATTGACAAACTCAACATCCTCGTGGGAGGTGTCTGGTCACAGATTCATGCCTAACTATTTGAGAGGCTGAGAAAATGAACACAGGGTCTTTTGTTTTCTGTAGTAAGAGGTAGACTCTGCTACCATGGCAACCAGCATGATGAGTGTGTCCCAATATGAGAAAGGAGTTTCATGATAAGTGATTCCATTTGGCACACCCAGATAACTGAGGATAACCTTCCTGTCTCAAAGTCATCTGATTATCAGCCTTAAATCCATGTGCAACCTTAACTGTCCTTTGCCAGATAATGTATCATATTCATAAGTACTGCGAATCAGAATGTAGACATCTTTGGGGGGCATTCTTCTGCCTACCACAGTGACTTATCTAGCAAGTGTGGACATGAAATGATATTTTGTTTAAGGGTCCTAGATGTGGAGTCAGAAGAATGGTCTTGCATGCTGACTCCAATATTTACTAGTCATGATCTTGGACAATGACTAAATTTCTCAATTAATTTCTTCAATTATAAGATGAGAATTGCAGCACCTCTTCCAAAGTTCTTTTGCTAATCTTAAACTCGGTAGTTTCTGCAGAAGGAATGCAAAGCTTGTGTGGAGGTTATACATGATGCTATAGGAACAAGAGAGATCTTGCTTTGAATTGTGGCTCTCCCTCTTTCTAATTAAGGTAATTAACTTCCTGAACTTCTCATTCTCCATTTTCTCACCTGAAAAAATGGGCACAACCTCATAAAAAGTTGTGAGAATTAAATGAGGCAATTTAAATAGTCTATGTGTTGTGCCTGGTTTATAGTGAAAACCAAACACCAGATGACACCTTAGTTTCTTTTAGACCAGGATTTCTCAGAATTTGCACTATGAATATTTGAAGCTAGGTAATTGTTTTTTGTTGGGTTCAGGGGACAGTCCTATGCATTGTGGGAGGTTTAGCAGCATCCCTGGTCTCTTCACATTAGATGCCAGTAGCCTCCTCCCTGCTAAGGTGTGACAACCAAAATATCTCCAGATGTTGCCAAATGTCCCCTGGGGGAAAGATCACCTTCCCTTTGAGGATCGCTTATTTAAACAAATATCTATTGGATGACTATGTGTTCTTTACAATATTTAATTGTGAGTTACATATTTAACTCATATATAAAAACAAAAGCACTCATATATGTACCTGCTGTCTTATAAACGTATAATACATGACCACCTCCTCTCCATTCCTGGAGAAGGGAGAAGGAGCGAGTGTGCCTCTTTGTTTTAACTTTGTTGTCGGCAGCAGAGAAATATCTGATTTATTCTAGACCAAAGAGCCCATGTTTAACATCCCATTTAGTTTGAGATATTCGTCCTTTTTTTACTTGTATACATTCATTTTGAGGCAATTACCACAATACACTTATCAGTTTAACTTAATCAAATGTGTACACTCCTATTTTGTTAGAGTACAAATCCAAAATAACAAGTGAGTGGGGAAAGCTTATCGTTTTCACTAAAACCTATTATTTCTGTTATTATAAAGAAGCCTCAAGCTGTGTCTGTCTAAATGCAAAATGCACAGGAAAGCTCAAGCAGGCTCAATATTTTAATTAGAGTTAGGCCTGGGGAGTGGGGTGATAATGATCCCAGCTTTACCCTTTGACCTGAAGCAAGATGTAAATTAAGTGCTCTGGCAGGTGAGAAAGGGTCAGCATAGGGAGCGCCCCGACTAAATTTCACAAAATTATACAGATTATTGATTAGGTTCACAGCATGAAATATTCCAGAAAATTCGCCTTCCAGATGGGGAAATTCTTTCAACAGTGAGGTAGACATTGAAATCATCACTTTGCTGACTGTCCATTTATACTGATCGAGAAAGTCTTTCCCCATAACCCAGAGCCCAATGGATTAAAAGGCAGAGGTGAGAATGTAGATCCCACTGGAATTTATGGCACAATCATCAGAGTTAAGGAATGGCCAGCTGCATATACGGTGTCCAAACATTGGCTGGGAGGCTGGGACACATCTCACATCAAAATTGGGTGGGCCAATTAGCTGCAGAAGTACAGAGAGCTTCCAGAAAATACTAGACTCTTCAGGGTTTCTCCAGAAATTTGTTTAATGACTAGACCAGGGTCATAGGGCAACATGAAATGGATAAAGCTGAGCAGGAAGCTTCAAGGACGTCCAACCCAGAGCATAAAAGGTGACTCAGCCAGTGGGTGGATTGTGGGCTCAGGGCACTGAGACACAGGTGACGCCTGACAGAGCACGCTGAGAAGTTTCTGAACGACCAGGTCATAATCCAGGAAAATTACCTCTATCTCAGGGGAATGTAATCGGGAGCCTCTGAGAGGAAGGCCATGTCCTAGGAGAAGAGGTGGACCCTGAGAAGGTTACTAAAAATGGATACAAGCCCAGGGGAACGTGAAGGAACGACCCATGAGAACCAGGCCACCAGGGGTCAGCTGGACTCAGGAGTCAGAAGTCTGGTTCTGAGACCTGGGAGATTAGAGATGGAACCACGTCCAGAATTCAGGGAATTGCTCAATTTATCCTCAAGATGGCGCTTAGCCAACTTCCAGAATTTTGTCTTGGGAGCTGTCCTGTGGTCAAAGTCATCGTATGGACAGCATGAACTGACTGCATTTTGATCACAGTCCAGAGACTTGAAAATCAGTCAGCTAACAACGCTAGCCTACTAATGGTTCCATATTTAATGAAGGGTCTGCTATTACCTTCAGAATATGGAGCCATTGCTTTCTCATCTAATTTCTATGTGTATTTACTTTCTAAGACATACATAGCCTCGGGTAAGCTTCTATTTTTAGTACCATCAAGACTCAAGATAAAGCATCCCTCTGCGCAGGAATATAAAAATAGAGAAATCCATATCAGTGCTGGAATTTTTGTCAGTTAAATTATTAGTATTATTCTCATCTCTCAAATAGGGAAGTCTGGAATTGTAAATAGGCCAGAGTCGCTAAACCACAAAATACATTCCGAATGAAAATAACCTTTAGTATCTTGCCAGAGGAAAGTAACAATAATTAGTATATGAGTATTCGTCAAGTATAGCCTGTAAAGGGTCTCTAGACCAGCCTAATAATAACAGAGCAGAAAATTAGAAATGAAGAGGTTAAAGTGATAACCAACAGAGGAGGAAAACAGTGTAAACTCCATTAGCTTGGAACAAAGCAGATAACTATATGTTGTCCCTAATACACTTACTTGGTAAGCTAACCCTGCATTTTATCTGCTGAAGATTACATTGTGACCAAGCAGCTCCAAGCTTCAAACTAGCAGATGTGGGCTTCAAAGAGGAAAGAAAAATGCTCCAAATCTCCAGCTTTTCCCAGTGGCTAAATAAAATGACGGCTGCTGGCAGCTGATGGGAAGAGTTGAAAGGCAACATAGACAGGACAAATAAAATTAGGTCAGATTCGACATCTGCCTGACCCTTGGCTAAGGTTGGGTGAGGGAATTCCCAAAGGACGAAGCTGGTGATGTAGGGAGACGCAATCCCCAAAGGGGCATCCTCACTCACTCCCAGGGTGGCAGGGCATGCACTCACTGCAGTAGTTTCTCAAGGTCAAGGTAATTTTTCCAAAAAGGCAATATTTTTAAACCTATGTTCATGGGTTCTTCAAGGCAACAATTTTCTTGGGCAATGGAAAACCATGCAAGATTTAAGTTGAACACAGAGGGCAAGAGAGAGCAGTCAAGGTTAGTTCTCTGACCTTGTGACATTCCACTGGGCCAGGGGTTCCCAGTCCTCCTCAGGTCAGGTTGTGGAGTCCTTAGTGTCTTGGCAATTTCTTTATGATGCCTCTAGGGCAAAAGAAAGACCTAGCAGTTTTGGTCCAAACAACTTAAGAAGAATGTATACACTAACATTTTAGTAAACATTCTTAAAAATAATATATATGAAATGGAAAGGAAAAAAGCATATTTTTATTTCATTTTTTTGTGTGTGTGTGCTGAGGAAGTTTCGCCCTGAGCTAATATCTGTTGCTAATCTTTCCTATTTTTGTATGTGAGCTGCCACCACAGCATGGCCAGTGACAGACGAGTGGTGTAGGTCCATGTGCGGGAACTGAACCCAGGCCACTGAAGCAGAGCATGCCACACTCAACCACTAGGCCACTGGGGCTGGCCATATTTCATTCTTTAATGACCGTGACTACTTACTAAAAGGATGTGTATGCCTGTTGGGCACTGCATGACTTCATAACCCTTGGAATCAGATTGCACTCGCCCACCGTCGTGTCTTGTTCCAAGTTGATTTTTCACACAGCAAGCGCCCAGTGCTCAGCTTTGCAAAGCTCTGACACCACTGAAAGGAAGGTAGCATGACTCAATGTTGAAACTCGGAACAACCGCCAGCAAGGAGTTTGCTGGCATCTGACAGAGATCAAGTATTTCTGTGTTTCCCTCAAAAATATAAAATACCTTATGATGCCTCTGTGGGTTATATAGTTTCTGTTGATGTAACTACTTGACTCTGTTGTGGTGTGAAAGTGCTATAAACAATACATGAACCAATGGATGTGGCTGTGTCCCAATAAAACGGTATTTGTAAATATGCCCACATTTTGTTAAAACAGGTGGTAAGTGTGATTAATTTGGTTCACAGGCCATAGTTTGTCAACATTTGTGCAAGCACTTTCTATGCTGTATTGTATTTGACTGTCTTGAAAGTGGACATAGCCATAAATCTTCATTGTTTCATTTAATTCCCATAATAATCCATGTGTTACAATATCTCCGTTCTAGATGAAGGATTTGGTTTCAGAGATGTAACTTGCTGAAGGTCAAATGGTTAGCCGTGCAGTGGGGCTGATACTTGGTTCAAACAGATTCTGGCAAATCAACAAAGCCCCAGCGCTTTCTACACCACCATATTGAAATTGAGTCTGGATCCAGCCTCCCAATAATTTGCTCTTAAACTTTGTCATGAACATTAGCTTCCCTGGGGTACGTTGAATTAATAATTTAAGCAAAGCTATAAATTATTTCCCTATATCCTTCCAGGCACTATCCAGCTACAAAAGGGTCATGGATGGGAAAGATTCTAGAAAAGCGAGGGTCATCTAGATTGTAAGTTTCTGCCTCTCAACAATGACATCTTCCTTCCTTTTTGCTTACCCACGCGGGTTTTTGCACAGTACTGCCCGTGCCCAATACATTTTGCGAACTCTTGTTGAAGGAATGCTCAATGTTATTCGTATTCACATCTTAACATCTCTTCTTTCTCCACAGCACCAACAAGTTTATTGATTCCTTGTCATGTCTAAATTCTTCATTTTTTGAATACCACAAATGCTTCTCCTGGGCCCTTTTACTTCTCTGATCATGGCTTGACATATAGGGATTAAGTAAGCGATTGCTCTTTTATAGACAAAACAATTTTCTACTTCAGAAAATATTCCTTTTCTTTTAGTTTGCTCTCACAATCATTTTTTTTTAATTGCTCAGAATGTTAGAGGCATAGAACTGAAAGAAAATACCAGAGATGGTCAATTCCAAGATAAGAAAGCCAAAAAACCCACACATAAACCCAATTAACATTTTGGTTTTATAACAAAATGATTGGGGAGACTATTGTAATACTTTTTATTTATAACGCTCTTTTCAACTTGGAATATATATAAAATGAATATTGTTATAAGCATAGACCAGATATAATTAGAGAGGTTTCAGTGTTCTGTCTTCAAATGCCTTTATTTGTGTCTACATCCATTAATAGTAACTGTTGAATTCACATCCTTGTCCAGTTCCTTTTATAACTCCTATCTAAGTACGAAAGAATGAATGTAAATGTTCTGTAGCAGTGATACAAACATGTAGAGCTCCCCCCTAAAGAAAACAAGAATAAGAATAAGGAGGAGGAGGAAGAGGAAGAGAAACAATCTCTGTTGAAAACCAAAGAAAACAGGAACAAGGGGATGTAATGGTAAATTAGTGTCCACTTTGATCCAGTCTGATTTCCATCAGATACATTGCCCCCAATTTGTTCAAAATGACTTGATTTCTTCAAAATATTGTGGGCATTGGCCAGTGCCAATGTTCACTGCTAAATTAAAATCTGACCTTGGTCGCGTTTCCACCACACAAGGCTTGCTCAGTTTGGGGTAAGCGCTAAGGGGTGCCGGGCATCTTCAGGCAGCATTGGTCCTCAGCAGTCTCGCTCACAGCACCCTTTGAAGACTGAACTTGTAAGTCAAAAGGCTACTCAGAAATGAAACGCCCTTTGAATTTATCTCCTTTTGTGGGGATAGAAATGCCTACTATAGAGAAATGGACCTTCATGCTGATGCCACCCACCATTATAATAATTTGGATCAAGAGATCTAAAAAAAGATCAACCTTAACTTTACTTCTCTGAGATCATGCTAATAGAACAGGTAAGTATAAATGATAAATCTCAAAATTGGTTTGAGAAGAAATTTATAAATGACAGTGTAGGAGGTAAAATTATTTCATCATTATAAAAGAATATTCATTTACCAGCTTTTCTAGAATATTGAGGGATGGAAAAAAAGAGGAAATATACTTCTCCATCATGCAGACAAGTGAGCAATGTGATAGGTACACTCCTTCTACAGACTTGTACTAAACGTGTAGCACGTCAGCCTCTGCCCACAGACAGACATGGAAGACCCAATTCTCGGCTTCAAGGAGCTCTGTCCTGTTAGGAAATAGACAAGAAAATAAGCAAATATAATACAGCTTGGGAAGAACTATGATAAAGAATTAAACAGGGCTACTGTGAGAGCATGATGGAGGGGCACAGAAGAGGTAGTCTGGAGATTTCTAGGGGAGGGTCCGTTGGACTGAGGCTTGAAAAACCACAATTTAACCAGTAAAGCAGAATTAGAAGAGGTTCACAGAGTAGTAACAACAATTAGAAGAGGTCTTATTTTTAGGGAAGAGAGGGGTTTGGATTCATGAAAATTTCCAAGCATACAGAAAAAATTAGAGCATTGTATATTAAAGCCCCATTATTAAATTATAATCCCCCATGTGTTATTGCTCACAATGCCACTCATCCCAGTATCCATGCTCCTTGCCATATGATTTTGTAGGTTTTTCCACCAGAGGCAAAGTCTATTTCCCCATTCCACTGACCTTGGGCTTGGTCATGTCACTTGTCTTGGCCAATAGGAGAGGCTTGTGACATGTTTGTATGATGAGGTGAGCCTGCTTCAGCTTCTGCCATAGTTGTAAGAAGAAAGTGGCCCAGCTACACGGCCCATCCAAAGACTGTGTGAAATATATAGAGTCATGCAAAGGGAAGTGCAGTCTAGGCCAGCTGGTCACCAGATGACCCACAGACACCTGAGAGAGAAGAAACTATTAGTCTCTTAAGTCACTCAGCATTGGGGAGGTTTGTTACACAGCAAATGCTGACTCATACACTCATGTGTGCATCACCTAGATTTAACCAATATTAGCACTTTTTACATATTGAGTTCTAGGTTTTAATTAATTTTTTGAATTACAGACATCATGACATTTCATTCCAAAAATATCTTTAAAAAATTAAGGGTATCTTGACCAAAATCACGTTACTATTTTCATATCTAATGGTGAAATAGTTTCCGGAATATCATCTGGTACACAGGCCATATTTAAATTCTCCCAATTGTCCTCCAAGTAGAGGGTTTATAGATGGTCTGTTCAAATCAGGATTTATTCAAGGTTGTCTCTTTAGGTCTACATCAGTACCCCCAACCTCACCATTTTTTTTTTTTTTTTTGAGGAAGACTGGCCCTTAGCTAACGTCCATGCTCATCTTCCTCTACTTTATATGTGGGACGTCTACCACAGCTGACTTGCCAAGCGGTGCCATGTCCACACCCGGGATCCAAACTGGCGAACCCCGGGCCACCAAAGTGGAACATGCGCACTTAACCCCTGTGCCCCTGGGCCGGCCCCTTTCTCACCATTTTTTTTAGTGATACTGACTTGGTGAAAAAAAAAAATCAGTTGTTTGCTAGAGTGTTTTGGATTTGTCTGATTGTTTTCTCATGGTATGTTAAGTTGCCCTCTGTCTCCCATATTTCCTGTCACCTGGAAGTAGTTCTAAAGACTTTATAGATTCAGTGTAAACATTTCGGTCATGAACCTTTTCTAAGTATTGTGTGGATTCAGTATATTAAGTGATCCATGGTGTTTGGGTGTCTCCCATGGAGATGCTGAGATTGACCCCTCAGTTAAGATGGTGGGAGCCTGATCGCTCCATGATATGTTTATATTCCCCACACCTGGACACCAGCAGTTTTGCAGGGTGGCATTTTGGCACCATGTGAATATCCAGTTCCCTTTAAACCTTTTTTTAAAAAATGAGCTTTCTTATTTCAGAAAACTTTTAAATTTACAGAAAAGTTACAAAGATATACAGACAGTTCCCACATATGCTACATCCCATTTCCCACATTATTAACAACTTGCATTAGTAGGGCACATTTCTCACAATTAATGCACCACTATCAATAAAGTCCATACACTTTTCAGATTTCCTTAGTGTTTCCCTAATGTCCTTTTTCTGTTCCAGGATCCTGTCCAAACACTACATTAGATTTAGTTGTCATGTCTCCTTAGGCTCCTTTTGGCTGTGACAGTTTTTCAGACTTTCCTTGCTTTTGATGGCCTTGACGCTCTGAGGAGTGCTAGCCAGCTATTTTGTAAAATGTGTGTCAATTTGAATTTGTCTGATGTTTTTCTCTTGTTGAGGCTGGGGTTATGGGTTCGGGAGAGGAAGACCTGTGTGCCACATCACCATACCATGTCAAGGGTGCACACATGACTTACTCGTGTTGAAGTTGACCTTGGTCACTGGCTGGGATGGTGTTTATCAGGTTTCTCTACTGTAAAGTGACTTTTCTTTTTTTTTGAGGAAGATTAGCCCTGAGCTAACATCTGCTACCAATCCTCCTCTTTTTGCTGAGGAAGACTGGCCCTGAGCTAACATCCGTGCCCAACTTCCTCTATTTTATATGTGGGATGCCTACCACAGCATGGCTTGCCAAGTGGTGCCATATCCGCCACCAGGCCAGCCCCAACTTTTTTTTTTAAACTCTTACCCATACTGTACTCTCTGGAAGGAAGTCACACTTAGGGAGTGGGGAGTTATTCTCCACCTCCCTGAGGATAGAGTAAGACAAATTATTTGGAATTCTTCTGCATGGGAGATTTGTCTATTCTTATCTATTTATCAAGCATTTCATTCATACTGCACATGGACTCATGGATATTTATTTAATAATTTCAGTTATAATCCAATACTACTTTATTCAATTTGCCCATTAAATTTTCACATAATGGTTTACCACCCCTTGATCTTTGCTTGATATATATTTTTATTAGGAATTTACAAAATTCTCCTCAGGGGAACTCTTTTTCAAGAAGGTGGGAAGGAATTTTAATTTTTTCTAGCTATGTGAGAGAATTTTTTTCTTCGTCAGGCCTTAACAAATGTATGTGCAATCAGAGACTGCAAAACATACCAGGAAATAGGTAAAGCTCCAGGCAAACCCAATTTCGGGAACACGTGTCCACCTATAAAACACGGGCATTAGAAACAGCAGGTCAAGCCTGCGGTCTGGTAACTGCACCTGTGGTTGCCTTTGCTTTCTAATAGCTTTGTACAAAACTGCATGCTGCAAGATCTGTGCACATTTATACAAAATCAGAATAGCAATTTTCTTATTCTCCCTGTTATTCCCTTTTCTCTCATGGAAAGGAATTGTTTACTAAACATTTGCTTTTCCATCTCCACGTGAATTGCTTTCTTCCCCTCTTAAGTCCCAAACCACTGCCCCCAACATCCTCCTTTGTCTTTAGCTGAAGATAGTACTTAAAATGGTGGCTTCGGCTATTTTGGTGAGTTAGTTCATTTTCCTGGGTTTCTCCCACGTATGCATGTTATTAAATTTGTTCGATTTTCTCCTGTTATTCTATCTCATGCCAGTTTAATTCTTAGACCAGACAGAAGAAGCTAGAGGGTAGAGGAATAGTTTTTCCTCCCCTTCAGTTTCTTACGTCATCTGGAAAACTGACCCTTGTGTTTCCTTAGCAGGTGCTTTGGTTGGTGGGGAGGGGAGGTTTAACCAATAATTGAGCTCCAGGGAGCACCGGCTTGTTATAGCAGTGCAGCAGGAGAGACCTGAATCCCCAGACAATATGATAATGCAGACAACTTTTTGGAATTTGGGATCCTTTAAGAACAGGAATCAGTAAAACCTTCTTCCCTGGTGATGTTGAGACAATAGATTAACGTCACAGCTGACTAACTACCCTTGGTGGAGTAGAAGGTAAAGGAGAAAGGGCCACATTGACTAGCCCTTGCTTATCTACTTCCACTTACATGTCATACATTATTTCTGCTATAAAAATATAGTAAAATGTGGATTTCCAATTAAAAGAAAAAAAAGGCAGACTCAATAAAAGTTAATCTGTTTCTCAGTTCCTGATGGATTAGATAGGGAATGGAATAGGTTTAATTTTTGAACGAAATAATCTGCCCTGTTTACTTTTCCAGGTCATCGATTCCATCCTAAGAGTGCCTTGGGTTTGTATGGTAACAGAGTATTCCATTTAATGGAAATAGGCAGAATTGGGCACACAAAACTATCTCATTTAATATTTCCATTGCTCCTTTCCTTTTCCCCAAATTTCTGCCCATCACCCATTCCAGTTGACCATTTACCTGCATTATTTATTGGGGTACAAAGGGAATGTGCCCTTGGTTCTTGTGAACTTTCTTCCTACTGTGGTTTTCACAGGACAATGAAGTCCACCTACGTACATTGATTGTAAAGACGCAGTTTTGGCTGCAGTGTAGGTTAAGTTATCTCCTCTCAATTGCTGCCTTATTCATCTGGAAACACTTCATCAAACTGGAAACTGTTCTGGTGGTTGAAAACCCAGGTACTTTAGAAACTCTGTATTTATCACCAGTGGATCTTTGAACTCAAAGAAGTCATCTGACCTCTTTGCCTACATTGCCCATCCTACCACCAGTACCTCGGCCTCACAGGTTGTGAGAAGACTGTTCATTCCAGGTACATCTGTGCATCTTCTCAGACACTCTCCTCCACTGCCTCTCAATATTAGAGTGTCAGAGATGATAATCCACATAGTAAATATATATTTGAAAATGTGAGCCACCATTTTATGGCAGTTGAGCTAATGAAACAGTTGTTCAATTAATATGATTTAATATCAGTAGAACTCTGGGTGGATGTCTTTTTCAGAAATGCGGGAGAAAATCCAGTTTGTAACTTACATATTCATTAACAGACTGATCACCCCAATGCAAAATCACAATTAGTTTGATTCAATGCCTAAAATAAAATTTTTGTATGGTATATTAAAAATAATTGGGCTGCAAGATGTTGAGGGGGCCGGCCTGGTGGCACAGCGGTTAAGTGCACACGTTCTGCTTCGGCAGCCCAGGGTTCACCAGTTCAGATCCCTAGTGCGGACATGGCACTGCTTGGCAAGCCATGCTGTGGTAGGCGTCCCACATATAAAGTAGAGGAAGATGGGCACAGATGTTAGCTCAGGGCCAGTCTTCCTCAGCAAAAAAAAGGAGGATTGGCAGCAGATGTTAGCTCAGGGCTAATCTTCCTCAAATAAAAAGAGGAAAGATGTTGAAATCACTTCCCAGCATTATTTTAACACACCATTGTTTTCATTAGAAAAATTTAAAAATGTAAAATCCATAATAACTCTAACTGGACATTATGTAATGCTCTTCACTATATATAATATTACTGTGGGAGACTGGAGATGGGTGAGAAATGAGAAGGAAGATGAGTATAAAGTAATTTTCTGAGGACCTGTCTTCAAAGAATACACTGGTGGCTAAGGAGAGATAATGGAATATTTCCCTTTAGACAAGCAAATAGTTTTCCAGTTAGGAGCAAAATATCCTTTCACTGCTCATTTTCAGTGAAAATTTGTTAATTCTAATTTGCTAATGTAGATACTTGATAGTGTCCCTGACAAACCTGGGGGTTTCACCTAGGTTTCAACAGAGCTTCAGTAGACCTTGAGTCTGAATCCACATTTACAATAATCAGCAGTTTTCCAAAGTAATCTACAGGGGAGTTTTTAGAATAGTATGAAACTTCAGTTTGAATAATTGGACAAAATGACCTTCATAAAAAATAGATGAATCAAGAACAATATTACTGAGCGAGAGAGTTCATGTTTGTTACTTTTTCATAGAAATTCTCAATACTATAATACACAGGAGTTCTCTCACTTGTAGAATGTACTCAGGGAATTATTTATTTAATCTCCACTCAATTCATGCCCTAAATCCATCCTGACTTTACATAATCTATATGCACATATGGCATAATGTGATATGGGTGGGTAATATAGACAGTAAAGGAAAGTTTTACCGTCTTGAAACTATATTCTAGGCTCCAACACATTTTTCTTTTAATCAGAATTATTTGATTTACTAAGTATATGCACCATAGAATTTACTCTATGAACATAAAAATCTTCGGTTAAATCATCTACTGTTTGCTGAGTGGATCATCACAAAAGTGAGGAAGCCAAATTCCCAGCAATACCATCAATATTTTTCTTTGGCGACTGGCTTATTTCACTGAGCATAACATCCTCAAGGTTCATCCATGCTGTAGCAGGAGTCAGAATTTCCTTCCTTCTTGAGGCTGAATAATATTCTCTGAGGCTCTCTCCTAATTTTTAACCGAAGAGGCACATGCTGGGATCAGTATTTTGTAACAGAGGTGTTTCCTCAGGACTCCACCTGGTGGAAGGTTTTCTTTACTCAGCACCCTCGATTGAACACACCTCCAGTCCACGCCATGGCATTCCTTTGCACGTCACTTCTCTCTATTCTCCCAGCTTTTGTCTAAATCAACTTCTATAACCTAACATTTTCTTCCAGTTTCTTGACCATTTTACTTGATCACTTTTGGCTTGCCATGAACCCTGGGTAACTAAATTCCTGGTTCCTTTTATTCGCTCCTGGTTCCCATATCTATGATTTGCAGAAATCCTGGACTTCTGCACACACAGCTTTGTTACTCACTTTTGTTCCACCATGGAAATCACATCTAGTAGAGAATATTGCACCATGATTTTTCCCCTTGCTGTCTTCATGTGAGTCCAGCACCGTGCCACATAGATCCTGAAGCAGGATTGCACATTTGGAGGATAACAGGTTGAGAGGTACAAACATAATCTCTGTTAGAATTAACTCCCAGAAACTTCATTCCCAACACACTGCATCCACTCCATTGATGTTTTTATGCACACTTTTTATCCTTCCCTATGGTGACTAAACAAGTGGATTCCAAGAAACTTTTGGTACATTCCTCTAAACTTCTGGTATATTTTACATGTATGTACAATGTTATCTCTCACCGAGGAAATAAACAGTCTGATAAGAACATAGAATGGTGGCAGAAACAATTTTAGATCTGTTCTGCACACTCTTAATTTTCTCACAAGAGAATGAAGAGACCAGAGGACTGAAACAACTAGCCAAGCTAACCAAGATCCTGTGATTCCCAATGTAAATCCTGTGTTCGTGCTCCAACGACGATTTCCACGGTGGCTGTTTCCAGGCACGTGTGTGTTGCAATATAACAAGTCTATTGAGTAAGTGGCTCGCTTGGTATGTGTGACAGTGGTGCCTTATTTAAAGAAGGACAATCCAAACACAAAAACTCACTAAAAAGGAATTCCATTCTTTATGTCTCTCCGAGAATATTAAAAAGAATCCAATTCATGGTCTTTAGGAACACTTTTATTTCCTCAGTTCTGCCCCATTCCATATTCTGGACCCTCTGTTTCACCAACCTTCTCCCCAAACCATTCCTTCTTTCTCCTATAACACTTAAATGCTACTCTCTTCTCCCAGTTTGAAAATCTACTGATGCACAAGAGATGAACACATCTCTGTATCTTTTTAGTGGAATCCTAATGGACCATTTTTGGCCTAGTTTTACTTGTGTTAGATCCCCGTGCTTGAAGTTGGAGCTTAAAATCTGCTTCCCTGAAATCTGCCCCTGCTCTTCTATTGCAAATTGTCATGGAAAAGATGAGAAGAGATGAGCTACATTAAGCAAACGAATAGCTCTCTAAACAATTAGCCTAAAGGGTGTCTTTGAATGGACCAACACACCAGTAGGGGAAGTCTTGATATCAGGGTCTCTAGTCCTGACATAATTAGCAATTTTTCAAATGAAAGGACATGAGGCATGATCAAGAGCTTTCACATGATCTGAGACTTAGAGGGATCACAAATATCCTAGTGAATTGAATCAGGATTGAAATAGCTTCCTACCAGCTGGAATCACTACCAAGTCATAAGGTCCACTAGAAAAGAGTCAAAGACATATTCAAAACAAGTACAAGATGGCCTGAAAGCCAGGAAGGAAACTTTGCAGTCCAATGAGAAGTGCCTTTCAACCACAGGGGCCCCAGAGAGAGAACACCAGAGACCCAGCGGTGATGCTAGGCAAAGGTTGTCCCAGAGCTGCAGAGAGGAGAGGAAGCAGGTCTGGAAGGCACTGAGCTTGAACAAATATAGAAGCAGTGCCAAGTCAAGTTCACCTCAGCAAAGAAGGTTATGCCTTTGTTTAGAGGCAAAACAAAGGCACCCGGGGCTAGACGCTCGCAAACGTCGCCGACCAAAATACATTTTAGCTCAGTGTCAGTTGGAGTTAGGATCAGAAACAGGAACTACGTTACTCTGTAAACATTTTTTTATTTCTAGTTCTCTGTGGAGTGTTTCATGTTTACCCTTAGTTGTCTGATAAAAGCTCTGTTTGGACATTTCCAATCTTTTCTCTCTCATCCACTCGTCAAAATCCAAAAAATATTGACAGATGAACTATGAATCTACTCTTCCAAGATAAGTGTTGATGGTGTCCACACCTTTGCTCAGGTGACCCAAGGAGAATTTTAAAAGAAATTAGATTGTGGATCTGTAGCACAGCATAAGAAAAAACAAAACAAAAAACAAAAAAACCTCTCGAGTATCTTATTATTTAGTAAGTTAAAGATACAAAGTGACTACAAATATAGCTAGGATAGGATCTTAGGCTTCATTCCTAGAGAATAGTGTCTGGAATGAAGGAGGTGATGGCCAGGTTGCAGTCTGTGCAGGCTGCAACACACCTGTGGGGCTGGAGTCAATCACTTGGCCAAGGGCCGAGACACACTTGAAGGTATTGAAGAGACATTGACTCCGTGGGATACTGGAGTAGCTAACCATGGTGATACTGAAAGATCTTATACGACCTGATGAGGTGGAAAAGCTCTTTCCTACTAGGCTTTGAGGTAAGAAAGCAGCCTCTTAGAGGGAAGAAGGATGTGTTGAGGGTCCCCAAGACCACCTCTTGCTTCAGAGATTCACTAGAAGAACTCACAAGACTCAGAAGTAGTTATACTCATGGTTACGGTTTGTGCAAAGCAAAATCAGTAGAGGAAAAGATGCATGGGGCCAAGTCCAGAGGAAACTAGGCACAAGCTTCCACAAGCCCCTCTAGGGGTCTGGGCTTTAGAAATTGTGTTCCCATGTGCCTATGTGACAGACCCTTGATAAAAATGCCTCGGGTCAGTCACATAAGCACATGGGAACACAATTTCTAAAGCCCAGAACCCTAGAGGGAGATCAGATGTTCACCATAAATCACACCACTTACACTATCTAGACGATCTTGTAAGTATCAAGATCCCAAGCATGAAAAGCTCTCTTATCAGTTGGAACTCCCCAAGAGCTTAATTCACAGGAGCCAGCCAAGGGCCAGCCACCAAAATGGGCATTTCTTGGGAATGTGCAAGGTTTGAACAACCAGGCCTGCTGAGTTAACTCTTTTCCTGCACAGGGGGTCAGGTTAGTGAGTCCACTGCAGGGTTTTCATGTATAAAAACCAGTTCCCCTTGACTGAAGCCTCCTTTTGTCTGGCTCATTGTGGAACAGTCAGGGGGAATGCAGTGAGAGTCACTTGGAGTTAAAATCCTTGCTCTGTCCCTTTGAAGTCTGTTAATTTAAACAAATTATGCAATCTTAATTTGAGCAAACTGCTCAACCTAATATACTTTGGCGAACCTTAAAAAGAAATAACTAGCCTTGTTTATAAAGTGTGCCTAATAAATCAACGGCATAGGGTAGATGCTGTAGGAACATGCATTTCCTTCTCCCCTGTGTTGAGGAAGATGGGAGTTCAAATGACCGATTATGGTTAGGCCTCGTTCTTCTATTTCTGCGGCCTTCTCAAACTTTATGTACACACGAATCAACTGGGGATGTTTACAGCATGCACAGTAGGACTCACTGGCTTTGGAGATGGACCTGTTCAAAGAGCTACCTGGCTTCCCAGTTAAAAGTGCAGACTCTGGGCCCCACCCCACTGTGTTTCAGTCTGAGAAGCTGCTCAGGAATTTGCTCTTTTGTTGTTTTTAAAGGAGAACTCTGTGTCATCTGATTTAGGTAGTGGAGACACCAGGATTTCTATATGAAGGAGCTTAGGAATGTCAACGTGACAGAAGTGAGGACGTGGAGGTTGTTTAGAAACTGAGTTTGTGCAAGAAGCACCTCATTTTTGATGGCCAAGAGTGTGTATTTGTTTGTGTGACGTTGAGGGAGTTGACGGAGGTTTTGGGGTCTCTAAAACCCTTCCAAGCCACTCTTCGGTGCAGCCTCTGGAGGGACACAATTCGTGAACCACACACAAAGAAGAAGCAAGGCCCCTAATCAAGTTCTTTAACTTCCGAAAGCCTGGTTTGTCTCATCAGGTGCAAGGAGAACACCAACGCTTACCTTACATGGGGTTTCGTACCACAGAGCTCAGAGGACACACCCAGGACATTGTTTGTCCTTTTGATTGGTTCTCTCCTACCTGAATTGAGTAGGGACTTTCTCAGTACTGAGTTTCTTCTCTTTACCTGCTTCAAAATTAGCCAGGGAGGGTTTAACAGTGAACCTGAGGAGAGAATGGGAGCTCTGGCCTTATGATTACAATGGACCTTCTCCTAGCAGCTCATACAATGTAGCCACCGGAATGGATTAAAAGGAGACTGCTCCAGGGCCATGTCAACCTGGGGTGGAAAATTCTTGTTTAGATTTCTAGTTACAGGGCCCCCTGCATCTCCACATTAAGAGGGGCACTTTGGCCCTGGATCCTGAAATGGAAGGGATCTTGAAGGTCCCAATCCCAGTCCTTTGCTTGTACAGTCGAGGAGACTGAGATAAGGAAAGCTTTGATGGTGGTCTTGGTGACAGTATTAGGACTTCAAACTCTACCCCTTATCTTCCAGACAATTGTTTTGGTCACTGCACTATCTGTTCCCCTACAGATAGAAACAAATTAGCTTCTTCCAAAACAGGATACCTTGTGGGAAATGGACCTGAGGCTCAATAATACGTATTTGTATTGACTTAAGGCATAGCAGAGCTGCTGAAAGGGTCGATGCTAGCTTTCTTCCCTGGACATATTAATAATTTAGGCAATGGGGAAAACAGGATGCCTTCTGGAATTGATATTAGTTGTAAAGTGTCACATATTGGCAAGGAAAGTGAGACTAAGCCAGGAGACCAAAATGTTAGATTGTGACATTTAAATAATGCTAGATACATCTTAGATGGGCAAATATGCAAGGTGTGCAATATAATGAGATACCTGTATCATTGATTTATGGTGGTTATGATTTTTTTAAACTTTTTATTGAGATTATGATAGTTTACACCCTTGTGAAGGTTCAGTTGTACATTATTTGTGAGTCATGTTGTAGGTGCACCACTTCACCCTTTGTGGCCACTCCCCACCCCACCCCCCCCTTTCCCCTGGTAACCACTAATCTGTTCTCTTTGTCTACATATTTAACTTCCGCATATGAGTGGAGTTATACAGAGATGGTCTTTCTCTAGTGGTTATGATTTTTTAATTGTTTTAAAAAATGATACCAAAACTCTATCCAAATGAACATTTCCCTTCAAAGTAGTCAGCTTGTAAGGCCACATACTTATTCCAGTGAGGTTGATGCTACTTAAAATGTTTTTAAAAATGCCTCCTTTAGAACCTAAGGCATTTTCTTCAAATATTCTTATTAAGAGTAGATTGTCCCATGGGGTCTAGGTTGATGTTTAGGATGATGCAAAAAAATGTTTATTCAGAAAAAAAATGTGTGCTTCTATAAATGACGTGGAAGGTTGAGAAAATCATTTGGAGTCCAAAGCAAAAAGGAGCGGATGACCCCAAATATGGCTGATGTCTTCTAAATCGACCCATGTGTTCTGAAGGTACAGTGAGATAATAAATGTGAAGGGAGGACTCGCCCTGCAGATGTGTCATTGTCTGTGATGGGATCTATCCAGAGGACTTTACCTTAGTTTGAATGCAAAACAGTCCTAAAGGTGAACATGTTCTGGGCTGCATTAGCCAGCATTCTCCATGAAATGATGTCCCTATTTTCTGTCTCAGTCAAAGTTACTTCATTCCAGTGACTTGCTCTATTTTTATGTATATATAAACTCAGGTAAGAGCTGAGTCATTCCACTCTTGTTGTGATGATCAAATATGGAAAGCAGTGCTAGATGAGTTGAGCCAACATGAAGACAGGCAAAGGATATCTGATGATCTGTCTATTACACATAGCACTCTCCCTTATATTTGATGCAAAGAAGGGGAAAGGGAGAGACTTTAGACCCCAAGACAAGTCAGAGAGACAGACAGAGGCTTCCTGGGATTTCTCTGACTCAGGCTGATGAACTGAGTCTCTGGTCTTCTACAATTGGCCCAATGCAAGAAACTACAGGGATGGGGAAGGGATGCATAGCAGCAGCTGTACCTTCAGAATAAGCCCAGAGGAGAGAATTTTTGAAGCATCTGCTCTTTTCTGTATTCGAAAAATTCAACCTTTTGGTGCCTTTGGTGCTGCAAAGCGTGTCTGTCCCAAGGACTGGGGGGCTTCATCATTTTCCAGGAAGCAGTTGGCTTCAGCCCCATCGAGAGACTCTGGGTCAAGGCCAGGTTTAAAGAAAGCTTACTTTTGTGGTCTTCATGCAGAAGAGAAAGAAAGGAGAAAGCTGAGCAAGTGTTGAGAGCTCACAGGCAAAACTCCTATTTCCCACACCAGCTTTCTTCAAGTTGACTATGGCGTGATGACTCACATCCGGGGCTTCTATCTGAATAAGTTCACAGTATTTCATCTTTTATTTCCAATCGCTCTTATCTTTGTTCAGTGTTCTCCATCTTCACCATCATATATTTCTTTTCTCTCCAGGTCTGTTTGCTTTCTGCTGTAATATTTCATTGGCAATCCTACATTCTTTTAATTATTTCAACAGGCTTGTCCAATATAACATTCCTACAAAAAAATCACTATTTACCAGTCACTTTAATATGGCAATTAAGAAGCATGATTTCCTGTGATACTAGAAGGTGAACACACATTTTGGAGATAATAGATTCAGGTGAAAATCATGTCGAGTGAAATTAATTAATTATGCAATTAATATCTGTACATGGTTTGTATGTCTATCAGTCTACTACCAATCTCTCAAACAGCTAGCCAGGCATGAATACTAACAGACTTGCCTTATTTAAAATAGTAATGCCTAATCATTGTTTTATTTTAAATTTCATTTGTACCTTTGGATTACAAACCCAACTGTTAACTCAGAAAGTTAATGTTTACAAAGCAACATAGCTCTATTATTTCATCAAAGGTCACTCAATAAAATTTAATAGAGGTTTGGTGCCAGAAAATCTCTTTACACAAAACATAGCTCTTGCAATTTATGATGTGAAAACAAAACCAATTAACTGTTTTAATCTCTGGAAACGTCTTACGTTATTTTTATGCAATATTCCATAGCTAAAAATCTTTACCTTTTTTCTGTTCAGTTTGTGTGTGCTCTTTAAGTATTAAATGGAAAAAACAGATTCCTAGGAGAGAAAGAAATATATAAAAGGATATGTGAATATTTAATAATAAAAGTAGAAAATACATTACAAAATAAAGTAAGAAATTTTATTCTTTCCTTGAGTGTCCTTTTTCTTTTAAAATATTTTTTGTAAATTATTTTTCCTGGTTCCCTGAACTGCTTAAATTTTCTCTAATGTCTTTGCAATGATATTGCTCTGCAGATACCTGAATTATGTCAGATCTACACATCACATGAGTATGTAGCCATAGCAACAGACAGGCCAGGTAATGGTTCTGATTTTATATAGATTCACGAGCCCTTAAAATTAGGCCCTTTCCGTTATAAGAAAAAAAGACAAACATCTCTACCTTTAAGAATTAGGTATACGGAATATTTTTACCCATTACAATCATATATACAAATGATTGCTTCAAAATTTATATGAGTAATTAAGATGTAGTGAATAAAATATAGAGTCTATTTTGAAAATGTGAGAACTGTAAATTGTACATTGAAATAGAAAAATCCATAAACCTCACTACTTCACCTAAGTGGAAAGAATAGTCTAAATTATATCACAATTTGAAAGTATATACATGTTTACTACTTTAAGAACTTCCACAATATATGAAGGAGAGCTTTGCTTTGCAAAGATAACATTTTGCTAGGTGATGTCTAAATCTTTATGAATTCTCAATTAATGAGTGCAGCTTAATCTGGTATTTACAGAAGGGGCTTTTAATCAGGTGTGGAACGTGGATTAACAGCTGATTTTCCTCTACCTACACCATGCTTTCTGACATTCAGGAAACTCTCCAGTATGACAGATGCAAATTAGAAGGAGCTGATGTAAACTTTTGAGGCCATATATTATGGTGCACATTTTCCAAGGTAATAGTTAAAAATTTTAGCATCAATAAACTCTTTTCTTGCTGTGACCAACTCATTTTCCTCCTTCAAAATTGTCAACTAATCTTCATAATAAATGACATTTAATTTTGAAATCCTCCACCAGTTCATTCCAGTCTAAATTATTTTCATCACACCTTCCTTTTGACCCATCCATTACTTTTAAGAATCAGTATTCATGGAGGAACCCTAAATGCTTATTACTAAGTGAAAGAGGCCAATCTGAGAAGGCTACATACTGTATGATTCCAACCATAAGACATTCAACAAAGGCAAAACTATGGAGACAGTAAAAAGATCAATAGTTGCCAGGGATGGGGTCGGGGATGAATAGGTGGAGCAGAGAGGATTTTGGGGGTGGCAAAGATACTCTGTATGATACTGTAACGGTGGACATATGTCATTATACGTTTGTCTAAACCCATAGAATGCATAACTCCAAGAGGGAAGCCTAATGTAAACTATGGACTTTGAGTGATGATGATGTGTCCATGTAGGTTCAACGTTGGTAACAAATATACTGTTCTGGTGAGTGATGTTGCTAATGGGGAGGCTGTGCATGTGTAGGGGTGAGGAGTATATGGGAAAGCTCTACACCTTCTCCTCAATTTTGTTGTAGACCTAAAACTGCTCTAAAAAATTGTCTTAAAAAAATTTCAGTTCCCCTTCCTTCCTCACTGTTCTGTATATTCCAAGGACACTTCTCAGTTTCTGTGCCCCTAGGACTCCTCAAAGCAAATGGACAAGAGAGTCTGTCAAACCTCTCAGCAGATAGTCCACCCTGCTTCTTCCCTTTCTCCTTCTCTATCTATCACTTACAATGTGAAGCCTGCTAAGGATGATGTCACACATCGGTTGCAGCTCTTATGTGGGAAGATCTAAGTTCTGTGCATTTCTTCCCTTTCAGCCCTTTCTGTAAAGTCTCTACACAGTGTTGCCCCACTGTATTCTTGCCTCTTGGATATGGTAATAGTGACTGTGTCACTAGCTGAGTGTGTTCCATGGACCAGCCATTTCACAAGGTCTTTGAAAATATATTTCATCTGCATGTCACAAATATGCTGCAAGGGCAGTATTTCCATCTTCCCCATTTTAAAGATGATGGAGCTGAGGACTGTTGATGTTCAGTGGCCAGACACAGTCCCTCAGCAGGAATTTTAGAACTTTATTCTACATAATGTCCTAGGGTCCTTCCAGCTCTGAAGTTTGATATCTAAATTTGTCATAGAAGTAAAGTAAAATGAATCTCAGTGAAAGAATAGGGGAAGGGTATTTCCTGGGTCAAGAAAGACCTGTCCCTGAGTTCCTAGCTGACCTTACAGAGGGAAGGATCCAGGACTTTCTATCAAGGAAGTGAGGAATGCCTGAAGAAAGGCCTTGAATTCACTCCTAGATTTCTGCCTCACGAGCTTGTGTTGGGGTCTAAGTTCTACCATTGAAGAGGAATCCAGTGGCATTAAACAGCCTTTTCCCAACGGATCAGTCACAGAGTCTCGTTTTCACAGGATGCTAATTTTGATGCTTTGAAAAATAATTGTTTAATGAGCAAATAAATTTGGGAGTCTTGGATTAAACAAATTTAAAAGGGCTTTATTTTTTCTGTAGTTGTTTTGTTTGTATGATTTTAAAGCATGACTTCCTAGAGCATTTGTCATACTCAGTTCCATCTTTGAGAGGGTGACATAATATGTGTCAATTCACAAATTTGTTGGACTGCAGAACCCTGCTTTTCTGGACTCACTCAATACCTCTTAATACATTTCAAGAGAGTTTTCTTCTAAGGAACTGCTGTGGTAAGACATTATTTTTTCTTTTTGAATGCCCTAGTATACGCGTAAATACCCCTGAAATGCTGATAGAATGAGCCAATGGCCAGCTCTTAGACCAGAATTGTTTGCGGCACAGTGAAACCAGCAGGGGAATTTAAAGAAGATTCTTGCCAGATTCTGATTTAATTGGTCTGGAGAGACACTAGAATTTCTGAAAGCTGCCGGATTATTCTGGTGCGCAGCCAGGGCTGAGAACCAAGGGCTTAGGACTTAGTACCAAATCAGGTTATCTGATTGCCTTGAAATAGTGCTTCCGCTTCGTGGGTAGGTTTTGGGGAGGTGAGACTGAGGTAAAAGGAAATAGCGATGGGTAAATGGGTGAAGCGTATGTCCAGAGCCTGGAGAAGCAGCCATTAGGGAAAAGTTAAAACCCTACGTGGGCTTTAGGAGGACCTGAGGCTTCTAAGATTGGTGTGAGCAGTAATGTAAGAGAGAAACTTAAAAAAAAGATAGAATACACTTTTCTCCTGCATTTTATGCTTTTGCTTTCTGCCAGTTCTGGCTACTTGGGGACATGGAGTGAGGCGGATATTTACCTTTCAGTGCGAAGAGCTGGAGAGCAGAGTGATGGATTCTTTTTTTGTGTGCTTTATATTGTGCCTATCACTTGTCAGTATCAATAAACATTCATCAAGGTAAACACGGACTCCTAATTTTTAAATTCTAAATTACCACTTGACATAAACCCCATTCATCAAGAATCAGCAGTGTGCTAGTCACGGTAATTGTTGAACCAATTCCAAATTATAGATTTTACTCCTATGAAATTGCCTATCTCTAGTGGTGTGTGCAAGCTACAAATAATACGCTCTCTCTCTGCGTGTGCACAGTTACATTCATTAAAATGCATTCAATTTCTCTTTAATTCGTAAACTGAAGCAAGCAGTCAATAAGTTTTCCTGGAACCTGTTTATTCACTTGCCTTTGTAGCTAGTATGCAATGCCATCTCTCTACAGGAAATGGATATTTCTTCTCCACTCTTAAATAATTAACCAGTGTGATTTTCCACCCTCTTCTAATTGCCTCAGCACATTCCAATTGTGAGCATCCATTTTGTTTTCTATTATTTCACTTCCATCCTCTATTTCTTCATACGATGAAAATCCCATGTGCAAGTACATTTCAAAAGTATATGGTAAGATTTATTTTAAAACCCTGTCTACTTTCAGAGAAAAAGCTTCAGACTATAAATATATTTGAGGGAGAAAATGTAAAACCTATTTTTTTCTTTTGGCTTGTATGCTTCAAATCTAAAAGTCATTCATTTTTAATTTTCATCCTGAAAGCATTTTCTTTTCCACCTATACAATGCTCAAGCATATCAGGGAAGTTTAAGCAATAAGGACAGAAAGTTTTTTGTTTCTTTTTTTATTCTTTTAATAACATTGAGTTGAAAATATCTGGGTAAAGAAAGGCTTTGGGAAATATCACACTGCGTACTGAGCTCACGGCTCTGCTTGCTATGTCTTATTTAGTGTATCCTATATGGGAAAATGCACTCTGCACCTGGGGTTTTGAAAGAAATGTTTTCAAAAGGACGTTTTGAGTCTGAGTCCTGCTTTTACCAGATCACATTTGCAACGATGCGTGTCCCCAGGTCCCCCAAGCGCAGCTTCTATCTCATGCACATAAGTGCTCTTGGTTTGATGCTCCGAGCATATCCCACTTGTTAGCCCCGAGTCCCCTAACTTCAGAGGGCTCTGCATCTCCCTTATCTCTCTGTCCTGCCCATCCCACAAAACGAATATCAATGGAGAAGGAGAGCAGTGACCAGATTTGGGAACACAGAGCTTAGCAGAAAGGCGGGCTTGGGTAAAATCCAAGCGAAATGAGGAAGTAGCTGCCTTGCCTCTGGCATTCACCCTGTCTCCATTAGTTTGCTCTTTTTCCAGCCACATTCCTGGAGCGCTCCTCAGAGTCCAGGGTGCTGGAAGACAAGTCCTGCACTATCCCTGTCCTGATCTGAGATGCCATGCCTGAGCTTCCTGCCTCCAGTGCACATTCCCCGCCGAATCCCCTCTGCCTCATTGCCCTCCCTTTCCCATCATAATGCTTCCATCAGGCTAAACTTTAACCAATTGAGATGACTGAAATAACTAATGTAAAAGAGACAAGTCTTACAAATTAGAATAAAAGCACATAGCATAACAATTGGCTTAACTGTTAATGTGATTTCAGACCGTTCCTTGCCACTTGACTATCTCTTCTTTCCAGGCTGGGTTCGAAGGCCACTCTCCTCACATCGCCTGCTGCCTTGCACCCCATCTTCATGGCCCACCC